AGGAATGCGGGAGGAGGCTGAGTGCGCCCTGGATCCAAGCTTCTCATCCAGCCAGTGTCTCTCTTCCACCCTGATGTCCTGTAGTCTGGGGACTGGGGCAGAAGCCCAGAGGCAGATTTGTTATTTGGCTTTCCCAGCCCTTCGCATTCCTTTCTAGGTCCTGACACTAAGTTAATGCAGAACAGCGGCAGGACAAAATTCAAGAGAACAAGTATTGATCGCCTAATGAATACACTGGTGCTCTGGGTAAGGCTTCCCACATATGGTTCCTGCCCCTGCCCTCCTGGTTCTCCCTGGGCGGGTCCCTTTACTTCCATCTCTCCTCTCTGGTCAGTAGTCAGCCTTCAGGTTTTAGCTTTAAAGCCACTGACAGGTCAACCACTCAAAGACAGTGTTTATTTCAGGCTCTTTTTGGACTTGGAAGATGTTATTTAAAAAACCTTAGGAACGTGCATGAATCAACAACTTAAAGAAAGTTAAAACAAATCTTCCCTTCTCTGGATTCCAGTTATGATGGTGACTTAGTGTAGCATGTGACCTTCTGTTTGCTTTGCCAGGGACAAGGAGGCCTTCATGGGGATGGAGAGCGAATTAAAAGAAAAATTTCCATTTGGAGGATGGATAGCAGGGTCTTTTCCCCTGACTTCCAAGAGCAAAGGATCCCAAAGGAAAAGTTTCTGTTTTAGTTTTGGCAATTCCTGAATCCTTCTCTTGTTTGGCTAAAAATTTGAGCTCCTTGTTGGGCTCTCCTCCCCTTCTTGTGCTCCCACTGCCTGCTGCCTGCCCCCCACACGCCAGCTTGCAAAAGCTGGGGTCAGCCTCTGGTGAGACAGTTTCCTCCCTGGCCTTGAAGGGTTTGCAGAAACCCCAGTCTGAGAGGCTATCAGGCCAAGGCTTGCATCGCCCCCTGGTAGTCCTTGGGCATCAGGATGGTTCCTGCTTTGTTTCAAAGCACCCAGAGTGGAGGCAGCTTTGAAGATAGATGTCTGAAATCATGCAATGGTCTCAATTTTTTTCTTTTAAACCACCAAAACTTTCTTATGATCCTTCTTCAAGGACTCCAAGCTTTATAAGTTTTTTGACTATTAAGAAATCTACGTTTATGAAGACATAATTTGTGTCTTGGTTAAAAAACTTTTTTTGGCAATCTGTATAAGATAATGAACATTACAGAAACTTGGCATTTAAAAAAATATATTAATTAATTTATTTATGGCTGCGCTGGGTCTTAGCTGTCGCATGTGGGACATTTAGTTGCAACATGAGAACTCTTAGTTGTGGCATGTGGGATCTAGTTCCCTGACCAGGGATTTAACCCAGGCCCCCTGCGGTGGGAGCGTGGAGTCTTAGCCACTGGACCACCAGGGAAATCCCGGCATTTTTGTTAGCTTGTAGAGGCTTAGCTCTGGTAAATGGGTGATTTCTAGTAAGCTTCTTCGGTATGTTGAAAGTAGCTCACCCCCACTCTTACCATCTTTGAGGTCTCCCAAATGTTCTAGGATGTCAGAGTGGGAGCTACACAACCATTTCAGCCCTCCCAGCATACAGTTGAGAAAACGTCAAAGTCCACGTGATGGTCAGTGACAGACTAGAACCTGTCACCAGTTCTGGGCGCTTCCCACTAGAGCATGCCACCATTTTAAAGATGCCTGAGGGGCTTCCCTGGTGGCTCAGTGGTTGAGAATCCATCTGCCAATGCAGGGGACACGGGTTAGAGCCCTGGTCCGGGAAGATCTCACATGCCACGGAGCAGCTAACCCCGCGAGCCACAACTACTGAGCCTGCGTGCCTAGAGCCCGTCCTCCGCAACAAGAGAAGCCACCGCAATGAGAAGCCTGTGCACCACAATGAAGAGTAGCTCCCGCTTGCCACAAATAGAGAAAGCCTGTGCGCAGCAACGAAGATCCAACACAGCCAAAAATAAATAAATAATAAATAAATTTATAAAAAAAAGAAAAGATGCCTGAGCTTTCAAGAGCTCAGGGTACCAGTGGTGACCTTCAGAGATGCACTTGGTTTTGAGGGCTTCCTAAGTGGCAGCTTAGCCTCTGCTTCTCATTCCTCTGCAGATTTTTGGATTTCTGGTCTGCATGGGGGTGATCCTAGCCATTGGCAATGCCATCTGGGAGCACGAGGTTGGGACACGCTTCCAGGTCTACCTGCCCTGGGATGAGGCGGTGGACAGTGCCTTCTTCTCTGGCTTCCTCTCCTTCTGGTCCTACATCATCATCCTCAACACCGTTGTGCCCATATCGCTCTATGTCAGGTATGCGCTCTCTCTGCTCTGGGGTCTCTCCAGGGAACTCAGGTGGTCCCTTGGCAAACTTCTGTCTTCTGTGAAGACGAAATTCTCGAGAGTGAACTTGGGGTCCTCTCCTTCCTGTGCTGTGAACATTTTATATTATCTGTTTATCTTTTTGTACAAAGCAAACTTCACCACAGTTTCCTGGCACTTTGGATTGTATTAGAACAGAAACCATATTGGTTTATTCAGCACATATTTATCACATGCCGACTTTGTGCAAAGAAGCATGCTAGGTGCTGTGGCACATACAAAGATGTATTAGGAATGGATTTCCTTTCCTCCAGGAGCTTCAGTCTAGTAGAGGGAGATAAATCTGAACATGTTATAAAACAAAATGGGAACTAGTGCTGTAACACCTTCAGTGTTACCCTTATGTGTAAAGCAAGGGGACACAGTTGATGTGTGTATTACATCACACAAGCCTCTGCCTTCAAAAGCAGCAAACTGGTAGGGGAGGAGAGATGCAAACAGTGTAAGACACCGAGCTACCATGCATCCCACTGAGATACCACAGAGGCACAAAGTGCCATGAGGGTTGGAAGAGCATTACTCCCCGCATAGTTAATCAGAGAGGACATCTTTGAAGAGGTTGCTGGTGAACTTGAGCTTTGAATGGTGGCAGGGATGGGTGAAGGTGGAGCCTGGAGGAGAGGGCTGGAAACAAAGGCACAGAGATAGGGACCTTGGAATGGTTGGTCCTGGGACAGTTTGTCAGGATCATGGACTGTGAGTGGGGGGCTGTGAGACAGAGAGCTGGAAACATAAGCTTGTTCCCTATTGTGGAGGGTCCTGAATCTTTGCCAATCGACTTTTACTTAAGAAACCATTAAAAGATTCTTTAAAAAAATCTAAAGAATGCTTTAGGAAGTATTGGCTGGCAGTGGCATACAGCATGAATAGGAGTAAGAGGACACCTAGGATGTTTGCAGGAAAGAGAATGTTAACAGGGAGAATGAACAGGAAGGGCGGGGGGATGCAGGAGGAAGAAAGAATGGCAAGAAGAGAGAAGATCTTTTTGTATTTAGTGCCTTGGACTTGAGATAAGAGAACCTGTGACTTTTTTTAATTTATCAAATTGTATACTTTATTATTATTTTTATTATTTTGGCTGCGTGGCTTGTGAGATCCTAGTTCCCTGACCAGGGATCAAACCCAGGCCCTCGGCAGTGAAAGCGCAGAGTCCTAACCACTGGATCGCCAGGGAACTCCCAACCTGTAACATTTTTGAGGAAATGCTTTACAGAGATGCTCAGATCTCTTCCCATATGTTGTTTTTTGTTCACATAGATTCCCCTAATAGTCCTCAGATCTCCCCACTAGCCACTGAGTCCTAGTGCTGTTGACAGTGAGTAGGAGATAAGGAGTTTCTGTGCTGAGGGTGGACAGTGGACAGGGGCTTTTGAGCATTAGGAGGAGACTCACAAGGCTTGTGGTTTAGTCCTGCCTACTCAGTAGCCACGTGACCTCAGGCAAATCCACAGTCCCTTAGGGCCTTGGTTTTCTCATGTAAAGTGGGAAGAATAATACCAGTTTCATTCTCTTAATAGGGACATTTTGATATAAGATACAAGATTGGAAAATACATTTTAAAAATTAAATTACTATACGAATAATGGGTGGTATTATCATCACAACTCTGGTATTTCATTACTATTTAAAGGTTTTATTGTTTCCAATCTGATTTTTTTTTTTCCATCTTTGGACTTCGCTGTCTTTGTTTTGTATCCAAGTTCACTCGAAGCCTATGGTAGCTGCCTGAGAAAGTTTCTAAGTGTCATCAGGTTACAGTATGTGTTTGCGGGGAGGGTGGAGAGGGGACGCTTGATCAGCAGAGTGGGGCAAAGGCCATTAAGGCATTTCCAGCCAGCTCATTTTTTGTGTGGTAGCTGGATCCTGACAGCAGCCTCAGTCAGGTTGGAAGCAGGGTTCCAGATGTGGCCCCATTGCTTGGCTGTGCTGGACCTAAACATGGGGCCCTTTCTGAGATGCTGGCAGTCCAAATCCCAAGGGTAATGCCTGGTAAAGAGGATGATGCGAACACACCTTGGGATGCTGAGAGCCCTGTGCCGTTGTAAATTGGTGTTATTCCCCAGACTCTTGAGGCCCCGCTTCCTTCTGGAGTCAGCATCTCAGTCTGCCCCGCCTTCTTCCCAAACACCCCAGGTCAGGTTGTGCAGCCCAGAGCTGGGCGGAAGGAGCGAGCTCGCCTGTGTTCGGGCAGCAAGGCACGGGCTCCAGGGCCTCCTCGGTTTCCTCTCCCTGCAGGGACGTCTGTGTGCCTGTGGCACGCGCAGCACCCTCATTATTTCTTTTTCTCTTTGTTTTTTCTCTTCCTTCCCTCTTGCACTTTCTCTTGTTTTCTCTGCATGGTTTCTGTATTATTAGTCCTGAGGTAAGAACTGGTCGAGTGCCTTGCCCGCAGTCCCCTCTCCTCTGCCTGTGCCGTCTGTCCCGCCTGCCCAGGCCCTTTGCACCTTTTTTGTCTGGAGAGCGTCAGAGGGTCAGGGTCGGGGACCCCCACCTTTAGGCTCTCCTTGCCCTCCCGCACCCAGGTGCCCTTGCCCAGGTATCCGCTCCACTCTTGTTTCTCCCCAGGCGGAGGGCCTGCAGCAAAGGCCCGTGGGGGTGGGGTCCCCCTCCCCTTCCTGCCCCAGCCTCACCTCCTGTGCCCTGTGCAGCGTGGAAGTCATCCGCCTGGGCCACAGCTACTTCATCAACTGGGACAAGAAGATGTTCTGCGTGAAGAGGCGGACGCCCGCGGAGGCCCGCACCACCACCCTGAACGAGGAGCTGGGCCAGGTGGAGTACATCTTCTCCGACAAGACGGGCACCCTCACCCAGAACATCATGGTCTTCAACAAGTGCTCCATCAACGGCCGCAGCTACGGTATGGCTGCGCCTCCAGGGTCCGAGGGCTTGCGTCTCGCCTGAAGGACTGTGCTACGGGGGCTCCCACAATTGTCTTGATGTTTGGGTTTTACTTCTCTCCTACCTGGGTCTGTGGGACTTGAGAGGGTCTGCTCTGCGCCCCGGGTCAGGAGGTAGACACTGACAGTGCTTCCCCTCTCCTCTGCTGGTGCCCTCACCCCGATCCCAGCTCCAGGCAGTAGGGGAGCTCCTTGGCTGTTTGAAGTGAAGCCCAAGACACTGGCTCCTGGGCACCCCGGCCAGGTTGGACCTTGTCAGCCCTGCTGGAGTCTAGACTCTCCCTGTGTTGCTGTCCAGGGCCCTTGTGAGTCTCTGGAATGTGACCATGGCCTTTCCAGTGTGGCCCCGCTGCAGTGGCCTTGTGGCTGAGCTGCTGGGATGGCTTGGTCAGCGTGTGTGGGGTCTTTTATGCAGAGTGAGCCCCTCTCCTAACTGCTTTCTCTACTAACCCAGGCCCCATGGCCAGTGTGTAAGGCTTTGTCTGTTGTGCAGGCCTAAAGAGCGAAAGGCACCCCAAGGGGCCTGGGAGCCCTGGGGACATGGGTGTGGAATTGGAGCTGCCCTGGGGGGAGAGCTGGAGCGTGGATGGGGATGGAGAGCAGTGGGTGTCATGGCTTTCAGTCCTGGAGTTCTGAGGATCCAGGGTGCCTGCGCCTCCTGTCCTTTGAGTCAGCCGTGTGAATCTGGGTGACATTCACTCAGTGACTAGGGTTGCGGGTTCCAGATGCCTGGGGGGGTCCTGTGCTGGAGGCTTCTCCCCCTGCTCTGTGAGATCTCGAGCTCTGACGGTGCTCCTCCTTCTGTCCTGGCTGTGTGTAGGTGATGTGTTCGATGTCCTGGGCCACAAAGCTGAATTGGGAGAGGTAAGGTCCAGACCCCATGGTGATTGTCTGTGCCAGTTAAACACAGGGTGCCCGGGCAGGGTTGGTGTGGTTAGGAGTGATGTGTTGTCTGGTCAGGAAATGGAAGCTGCTTGGAGGAAATGGTATTCTAAGGAAGAGCTGGTAGCAGAAGTGGGAATCTTGAGGTCCACAGTGGACAGGATCTTGGTGGGGACAGCGCCTCCCTGGGAGGCAGCCTCTTGACCCACCCTTTCCTGATCACCCTCTTACCTGCTCCAGAGGCCTGAACCCGTCAACTTCTCCTTCAATCCTCTGGCTGACAAGAAGTTCTTATTTTGGGACCCTACCCTCTTGGAGGCTGTCAAGATGGGGGACCCACACACGCACGAGTTCTTCCGCCTCCTTTCCCTGTGTCACACCGTCATGTCAGAAGAAAAGAACGAAGGTGAGGGACTTCACTGGAGGTCTAGTGGTTAAGCCTCCATGCTTCTAATGCAGGGGGCACAGGTTTGAGCCCTGGTCAGGGAACTAAGATCCCACGTGCCGCATAGCACGGCCTTAAAAAAAGAAAAAGAAAAACGAAGGTGAGCCGAGGAGCTGGCTTGTGTTCTCCCCCACCTGGCTTGTGCCTTTGGGCTCGGGCTGTGGTCTGCAGTGTGGCTGCCTGGGGCTTCCTGGGTGGGACACTCAGCTGAGAATGGGGCCACTGACACCACCTGTGTTCTTCCTCCCCACCCAGGGGAGCTGTACTACAAAGCCCAGTCGCCAGACGAGGGGGCTCTGGTCACCGCAGCCAGGAACTTTGGTTTCGTATTCCGCTCTCGTACACCCAAGACCGTCACTGTCCACGAGATGGGCACAGCCATCACTTACCAGCTGCTGGCCATCCTGGACTTCAACAACATCCGCAAACGGATGTCAGTCATAGGTGAGGCCGGGACGGGGGTGCTGGGGACATTCAGGGGCAGCATGCAGACCCGGGATGGGTGAGGTGTACTGGGTGACCCTTGATGTTTTAAGGTTGGGGGGGCTTCACCTGCCTGAATTTTTCTGGGATGTTCTCCCCCCACCCCACCCGTAGTGCGGAATCCAGAGGGGAAGATCCGACTGTACTGCAAAGGGGCTGACACCATCTTGCTGGACAGACTCCACCACTCCACCCAAGAGCTCCTCAACACCACCACTGACCACCTGAATGTAGGCGTGAGGAAGAGAGCCCTGTGGTTCTGCTACTCCCGGGGTGGTGGGAGGGGCTGGGGGCTGACTCTCTTGACTCCTTCTCCAGGAGTACGCGGGCGAAGGGCTGAGAACCCTGGTCCTGGCCTACAAGGATCTGGATGAAGAGTACTATGAGGAATGGGCCGAGAGACGGCTCCAGGCCAGCCTGGCCCAGGACAGCCGAGAGGACCGGCTGGCCAGCGTCTACGAGGAGGTTGAGAGCGACATGATGGTATGGGCTGCAGAACGGGCCAAGGGTGGGCAAGGAGGAGTCGTGCCTGGACTCTCGTCCCAGGGACCCTTGTGGTATTTTCAGCTGCTGGGCGCCACGGCCATTGAGGATAAGCTTCAGCAAGGGGTTCCAGAGACCATCGCCCTCCTGACGCTGGCCAACATCAAGATCTGGGTGCTGACAGGGGACAAGCAAGGTGAGAACCAGCAGGGCCGAGGAGATTGCATCTGGACACAGCCCCGTGGAGTCCTTGCATGAGCCTAGGACATTGGGCTGGCAAGTGCGCTGACCTTGTCGGGGGCCTGCCCAGAGCTCCTGCAATCTCTCTTGGTAGAGACGGCTGTGAACATTGGTTATTCCTGCAAGATGCTGACGGACGACATGACGGAGGTGTTCATCGTCACTGGCCACACGGTCTTGGAAGTGCGGGAGGAGCTCAGGTAAAAAGGCCCGAGGCAGGTAGATGCTCTGCCGTGTACCTGGGGATCGGGCAGAGGTTCCCCGATTGGGCTTGAATCCCTGCTCCTGTCCTGGCAGACCATGGTCTCGTTTCCCCCTTCACAGGAAAGCCCGGGAGAAGATGATGGACTCGTCCCGCACTGTAAGCAATGGCTTCACCTACCAGGAGAAGCTTTCTTCTTCCAAGCTCCCTTCTGTCCTGGAAGCCGTGGCTGGGGAGTACGCCCTGGTTATCAATGGGCACAGCCTGGTAAGTGTCGTCTTCCTTCGCTTGGGCAGTATCTTTTCAGAGAGTGGCTCGTAGATCTTACCATGTTCCCATTTCCCTGGACTTCAGAGGGGCTGCGGTCTTACAGGGACTTGGACGAGCTGACCCTCAGGTCTCTCCTGGAGAAGACTGGGGCTGTCTCAGCACTCTGTGTTCCAGGCCCATGCGTTAGAGGCAGACATGGAGCTGGAGTTTCTGGAGACAGCCTGTGCCTGCAAAGCTGTCATCTGCTGCCGGGTGACCCCCTTGCAGAAGGCACAAGTGGTGGAACTGGTTAAGAAGTACAAGAAGGCTGTGACCCTTGCCATCGGGGATGGAGCCAACGACGTCAGCATGATCAAAAGTGAGTGGACTGCGTAGGTGTGGCGGCTGGGCGCTGGGGAAGGGAGAGGGGCCCAGGGAGGAATGATGGGGGAGGGGGCCAAAATGTGATGTGAGTCTGAAGGGTGTGGCTGTCTTCATCCTGTTGTGTCATCTCTTGTCTCTGCAGCGGCTCACATTGGTGTGGGCATCAGTGGGCAGGAAGGGATCCAGGCTGTCCTGGCCTCCGATTACTCCTTCTCCCAGTTCAAGTTCCTGCAACGCCTCCTGCTGGTGCACGGGCGCTGGTCCTACCTGCGCATGTGCAAGTTCCTCTGCTATTTCTTTTACAAGAACTTCGCTTTCACCATGGTCCACTTCTGGTTTGGCTTCTTCTGCGGCTTCTCGGCCCAGGTAATGAGCTCCCCACTGCCCTGACTTGCCAATCCTTAAGCTCCTTAAGGACAGAGATTGTGTCTGTCCTGTTCATTGCTTGGTCCCCTTAGGGCCTGGCTGTTGTCTGATGCATGCATTTAAGAAAATGCTTGTTGAAGAATTGGAGAGGGAGTTCCAGAAAATTCCTTAGGCCTCCACATATGCCACGTCGGCTGTCTTCCTCCGCCTGATTTGTAGTGAAGAAAGACTGCATGTTCACTCCTCTCTCGCTCCCTGTTCTCCTTCCAGACCGTCTATGACCAGTATTTCATCACCCTTTATAACATCGTGTACACCTCCCTCCCAGTCCTGGCTATGGGGGTCTTCGATCAGGTATGGGGGAGTTGGATGACCGGGCGGGCTGGGGAGAAAGACGTTGCTGCAAGAGAGCCACCTGATAGTGGTAGGCTTGTGCCCACTGCCTGTGGTCCCTGGGAAGGCAGTTCTGTGAGCTGGTCAGGGTGTGGCTGGTTCTCCCTGTCAGCCACACCTGACCTGTAACTCCCCTGGGTTGCTGAACAAAAGATGGATTGGGGGCAGCTGGCTTGAGGTCGGATATAGCTGTCGAAGAATTTAGAAGAAAAGAGGCAGGGGGACAGAGTCTGCCCTCAGCCTTCCTGAGTTAAAGCGGCAGCTTCTGAGGCATCCTGTGCCACTGGCCCTCTGCACACAGGATGTCCCGGAGCAGCGGAGCATGGAGTACCCTAAGCTGTATGAGCCAGGCCAGCTGAACCTCCTCTTCAACAAGCGGGAATTTTTCATCTGCATCGCCCAGGGCATCTACACGTCTGTGCTCATGTTCTTCATCCCCTATGGGGTGTTTGCTGAGGCCACCCGCGATGATGGCACCCAGCTGGCTGACTACCAGTCCTTTGCGGTCACCGTGGCCACTTCACTGGTCATCGTGGTCAGTGTGCAGGTAGGAGGCAGTCCGGGAACTGGCCTCCCCTCTGGAAGGGGTGGGGCTCCTGTCCTTGGGGTGCACTGGGCACTGCAGTTCTGTTCCTGGGAGGGGGGACTGGGGTTTGGTCGGGGGGGGTGCTCCTTCTGCCTGTAACAACTGCTTTTTGCAGATTGGGCTGGATACCGGCTACTGGACGGCCATCAACCACTTCTTCATCTGGGGCAGCCTGGCGGTTTACTTTGCCATCCTCTTTGCCATGCACAGCAATGGGCTCTTTGACATGTTTCCAAACCAATTCCGGTTTGTGGGTGAGTGCCTGTGGCTTCCTCTTGAATCAGTGAGGAATCACAGTTGTTCTGGGACTAATGGGGTAGTTAGGCATTTATTCAACCCTCTTTATGTGCCAGGTATTCTGCAGGGTGCTGTCAGGATCTAGTATCCGACCCAGGCCCTGCCCTCAGAGGGTCTCCATATCCATGAAAATGAAGAACAGCCCTGCCAGGCTACAAGGGAGGCGAAGGGGTGGCAGGCTTCATGGTCAGCAGAATGACTGTTTGTGGGGTGGTCAGGGATAGTCCCCCAGAAGAGGCTGCTGAGGGTGTGGCCAGGACTGGGGAGCCAGATTCCAAGCCGGAGAGCTGGAAGTGTGAAAAGGCTGTTTATTTCTAGGAAATAGAGAGTGCTCCAGCTAGGGTAGGACAAGAATACCCTTTGAGAAGCAGTGGAAGAGAGGTTAGAAAGGCAGGCCATTTGAGGAGTCAGAATGCCAGGCTCTGTCAGGTGTGCACTTGACTTGCCAGGAGCCTCTCTCTCTTTTTTTTTTTTTTTTTGGAGGAGAGAGTGGGGAATGGCATCAAGGTACAAGGGTCATCAGCAAAGCCCTTTTGAGGAAGAGACATTGGCACAGAGAAATCTGAATGAAAGGAAGGAGTGAGCCATGTGCCTCTGTGGACAGGAACAGCCCAGGAAGAGGAAACAGTGATATGGAAGCCTTAGGTGAGGGCTTGTGGGGAGGTCGTCAGCAGCAGAGGAGCTGGGGGAGTGAAGGAAACGAGGTTGGAAGGTAGGGCTGAGGCAGGAAGGCAGAGATGAGAATCAGTCCAGATCATTTAAGCCTTTATAGGTCAAAGTAAGAACTTTGAATTTTAATCTAAATGTGATAGGAAGCCATCATCAGAGGGTTTTGAGCAGGGAAATGTCATAAACTGATTTATGTTTTTACAGGATCACTCTTACTGTTTTGTGGATAATAAAAGGTAGAGGGCAAAGGTAGAAAACAGGGAGACCAGCTAGGAGGCTATAGCAGTAACCCAGGTGACAATGATGGTGGCTTGGAGTCGAGTGAAAAGTGGTGGAATCCCATAGATATTTTGGAAATGGAGCCAGCAGATTGGATGGGGGCCTGAGATGGTGGGGGTAGGAACCAGGTTGACTCCGGGGCTTTTACTTGGAGCAGCTTAGTGGGTGGTGGCATCTCCTGGGCTGGGGAAGACGTGGAGCAGATTGGGGTGGAGGAAACAGTAGTTCACTTTCAGCCGTGTGAAACCGAGGTGCCTGTTAGATGTTCAACAGAGATGTCAGGTTAAGGCAGTTAAAGAAGTAGGTCTGGGGACTTCCCTGGCGGTCCAGTGGTTATCATTTGGCGCTTGCACTGTAGGGGGTGCGGGTTCGATCCCTGGTTGGGGAACTAAGATCCTGCATGTCGTGCAGCCAAAAAAAGAAAAAAGAAAAGACAAAACAAAACAGGTCTGAAGTTGTTTTCAGAGTTTGGAGCTAGAGTCCAAGTTGGAGATAAATATTTGGAGAGCAGAGAGAAAGAGAAGACAAGGATGACTTAGGTTTTGAGACTGGGGAAGTGGGGCTGCCAGAAAAAGAAATGGGGAACTCAGCGGGGCAGTGCTGCCCTTTCACCTGCTTTGTGACTCCCAAGGCCCCTGACTCCTTTGTTCCCAGGTAATGCCCAGAACACCCTGGCCCAGCCCACCGTGTGGCTGACCATCGTGCTCACCACAGTCGTCTGCATCATGCCTGTGGTCGCCTTTCGGTTCCTCAGGCTGAACCTGAAGCCGGATCTCTCAGACACGGTGAGAGGCCAGCCTGTCTGCTTTGGGGGACGGAGCCCGTGTGTCCGAAAGCCCTCGGGCTTAAATACGCCTGTGGTTGCAGTTTCTGTTAAGTGCGTGGACGGTGGTCCTCTGCCCTTCCTGGGGACAGACAGCCTGGGCAGTCTTGGAGGTGCCCGTGCCTGCCCCATCCCAGGCGCTCTGGGGCCCTTCCCTGAGGCGGTGTCTGACGCTGCCACGCTGACGGAGGCTCCTTCCCTCGTGCCTCCCCCGCCAGGTCCGCTACACCCAGCTGGTGAGGAAGAAGCAGAAGGCCCAGCACCGCTGCATGAGGCGGGTGGGTCGCACGGGTTCCCGGCGCTCCGGCTACGCCTTCTCCCACCAGGAGGGCTTCGGGGAGCTCATCATGTCTGGCAAAAACATGCGGCTCAGCTCCCTGGCACTCTCTGGCTTCACCACCCGCTCCAGCTCCAGCTGGATTGAGAGCCTGCGCAGGAAGAAGAGTGACAGCACCAGCAGCCCCAGCGGAGGGGCCGACAAGCCCCTCAAGGGGTGACGGCTGGGACGGGGACGCCCCTTGCCGGTGATCAGCGCACTCAGGGCTGGCCGGCCACCGAGAGGACAACATCTCAGAACTGCGGGTCCTCATTCCTTGCCCAGGTCCTCATCCCATCTCCCCTGGTAGACTCTGTCCTGCTGGTCCCACTAGGAGTGGCTGGGGCATCCCCAGCCCAGGGCCCTCCTAGCAGCTGGGAGGGTGGAGGGGGCCGGCCCCAAGGGCAGAGTGGGGGCTGACCAGCCCCAGTGGGGGATCAGATGTGGAACCAAAAACAGAAGAAAAAACTGTGAGAGATTGTGTCTGCCCCTGCCCTGCCTGGGAGCCCACAGGGAGACTGTAATCTCTGTATTTTTTTACTCCCACTCCCCAGAGGGGCCCCAGAGCCCCTGTTCCTGAATTACACAAGAATGTATCATGCCGGGAAGCCAGAGACCTGCTGGGGCCCTCGGCCCCTCACAGTGTGTGTGTCTCTCCTTGATGTGTGTTTGTGTCCAGTTTGGTTTTGTCTTTTTTATTTGGCAAGTGGAGGAGGCCTTTATATGACTTTTATGTTGTGATTGGTGTCTTAACTCTCCTGGGGAAGAGGAGGCCGGATAGATGTGGAGCGGTTTGGGAGGGGCTGATGCCCACGAGGGACAGAGGCTGACCAGCGAGGGAGGTGCCTGTCAGCCACAGGGTGCGGGGAGAGTATACAGGGGTCTGCTCCTGTCTCCTTCCTCACCTTGAGAGTGAAGTGCTACCCCTCCTCAACACACGCAACTCCTGGATTCCGTGAGTCCTGCTGGTATTGGGCTGGAGCCTAGGAAAGTGGCCCTGTCCTTCTCAGTGACCTAAAGCTGGGTGTGAAATGTAGTCCTAAGAACATTTTCTTTCATTTTAAATTTAGACCCAAGTTTACTGGCAGAGTCTGTTCTGACTTTCCTTCTCCCTGTTCGTTGGTGTCTTCCTGCGCCTGAGGTGGCCCAAAAGGGGAAGCTGAGCACCATGAGATGAGGCTAAAGGGAAGCTGACCTCTACTTCTCCCTCTGGTAAAAGAGGTCCCGCCCGCTCCAGGCCCAGCACGCGGCGGGGTTTGGTGGGGTCCCTGTACTGAGTGGTGGGGAAAAGCAGAGGAGGCGGCTGCCCCGCGCCTGGCTTGGTCTGGACAGCAGAGCTTCGGCCTGCCTGTCCTTCCTCTCCATCATCTACACCTAGGAAGCACTTCCCCAAATTACGTGTCTCCCAAGTTAGTTGCTACCAAATCAGTCTCGGGAAGAACTTTTTCCTTGTCTTTGGTAGTGGAGAGGGTTACTCAGGAATGGTGTGGAGCTGGGAGTGGGCTATGTGGGAGTCCCAAGGGAACTGGAGGTGGGCTGCGTTGAGGCAGGGTTGGGTGGGCAGGGGGTGGGGGCGGGGAAAGCTTGACAGGGAAATTCTTTAGGCCACATGGTTTACAAACCCAACATCATGTCTGTTTGTGTGTCTCTCAAGGTGAGAGTCTGATTTTTATACCAAAGAGGAAATGATTTTTTTTCATATTTTGTTTGTCTATATTATATAAATATAAATATATAAATATATATATATATATAAATATATATATATATATATACACACACAGTTATATATATATTATTTTTTTGGTTCTCTCTCGTTTTTTAGGGAGGGAGGAAAGTACCAAGTTGCAATGAGCTGTAATTAAGGAACATTCTGTATAATTTATGACACATTTCTATACTTGCAAAAATTATATCATTTTATGGATATAAGAGAAAAATGCCTTTTTATAAAATTCCAGTTTCTGAGAAGTGTCTAATTTGTCTCTTTTCTGATGTTTAACCAAGACTGGTGGTAAAAGTAAAGACAGATAGAAACTGTTTCTTAAATGGAACTGAGTGGGTAGATGTGGGCCGAAGTGGAGAAAACAGAATCTGACTGGTGGGGTAGAGCACCTCCTCTGTTTGCACACCTTCTGGTATCTGAGTTTCAGCTGGAAGATGGGGCAGTGGGCGGGACTGAGGTGGATCACAGGGACTTTGTGTTCTGCTGATGGCTGGGTGCTTAGGACCTTGACTGTTTGCTTTTCCAAACACAAGCCAAACTCATTCCTAACACATACCAGATAGGTGGGTATGCGTAGGGGAAAGGACCGGGTAAATATTTTGATTTTTTTTTTTTTTTTTTTTTTTTTTTTTTTTTTTAACCACCACCCCATGCCTTTTCCATTAGCACAGGCCTCATAGCCTCCCATCTTCCTGGCTTTTCACAGAAGTAAATATTAAGGAGCCTAAGTAGGGACTTCCCTCGTTATCCACTGGTTGAGGTTCCACACTTCCATGGCAGGGATCCCTGGTCAGGGAACTAAGATCCCGAATGCCGTGCAGCTTAAAAAAAAAAAAAAAAAAAGAAGGCAGCCCAAGACTGCAGGAAGTGAAGGATAGCAGATAAGGTGTGCTTCTGTCTTTCAGGGAGGGAGGAGGGTGAGGAAGCCAGGCGAGCTCGTGTCCTAGGAGAGCTCAGGGCTGGTGCTGGACTCTGATGCCCGTCAACTCCCCCACCCCACCCTTTCGTCTTCTGACCTAGCCAGTCCTTTCTGTCATGGTGGCAGTCCTTCCTCTTCCTCCCTTTTTTCCTTCTCAAAAATAGAGATTTCTGGGAATTCCCTGGTGGTCCAGTGGTTAGGACTCCTCGGTCCCACTGCAGGGGGCCCGGGTTCAATCCCTGGTCAGGGAACTAAGATCCCGCATGCCTCGCAGCATGGCCAAAATAAATAAGTAAATAAAAATAAAATACAAAAATCAGTGGTGCTTAAGCTTGGAGGAAAGACATGGAGATAAGATCAGTTTTCCCCCTGAGGAATAGTCCAGGGCAGGGAGAGCCCACAGACCCCTGGGACACAAACTGGTACCTGCCTCCACACAGGAAGAACCTGTTCAGGTGCAAATCAGCCTTTTATCAGAGGCTCTTTCTGGAACCCTGAGCCTCAGGCAGCAAGTGGCATCTGGCCTCAATCCCCCCACCCCCAGGACAGAGAAACAGGCCTTAATCCCTTGAGGCTGGTTAGGCTCCCAACTTTCCTGTTCCTGCCACTTTTCACCCCAACAAAGGGCTGCTGCCCCTCACCCTGTGACAGATCCTCAGGGTCCCCACTCCCCACCCCACCCACTGCTGACCTACAAGAGAGGTTTCAGAGGACAGATGAAGTGCTATTCAAGCATGGAGAGAATGTTCTCCCCCACTTCTCAAATGAGCGGCTGAGGTCTCCCCTCACCCAGGATCCCATTATACATATCTGAGGGGCAGGGCCTGAGTTATTTTTACTCTCATTGCTTCTTCCAGATATCTTTTCTTCCATCTCTAGATAAGCATGAGTTGGAGTCTCCTGCCGCTCAGATAACTCATTTGTTCTTGATTTCCTACTTCCTTCCCTGCACTCACTGAGGACTTGGGCACCTGGCTTACTGTCTTCCGGTCCCTTCTCCCCGGTCCCTTCTCCCACCATTACCCTAGTGCATTCTCGGAATGTGTGTCTGAGAAATCTGTGTGATGCCCTCACTTTGTTCTCCTTCGGCCTCCTCATTTCTGAGGGCATTCACCTCCTCTCCACAAAACAGTGCACTCCCAATGGGCGCCCCACTACCATCGGGAGTGTCACCTCCAAAAGGTCACAATCCAGCATTTGTCTGTATCCTTCAGCTCCTCTGCCTCTCACCTGTACTCTTAATACATACTACAAACTCCTCCTCTTCTGGTCGGGCAGCTCCTTTGTGTGGGCTCTTGCTTCGCATCCCAGCCCATAGCCTGTGGTCTGGTATTAACCACTCTGCCCAGCAACACTCCGATGCTGGGTCAACATGCCGTGTCCCATGGTGAGCTGTCCATGTGAAAGGAGGAAGCCGCGTGACCATGTTGAGTAGAGGAGCTGGGAACTCACAGACTCCCGCCCCAGCAGGCCTGTCACACAGTGAGGCAATGCTGTGCATCTCTGCTTACTTTCATTCTGCTTCCCCTCAATGACAATTCCTAACTTTCTTCTCTTTCCTCAACTCCTTCCCACCATCTCCCACCCTACCCCATGCAGATGGTTCTACCTCCTACTTCACAGAGGAAAATAACTTCATCTTTCCCCATCACCTACAAGTTTCACTCTGCAGAGGCAGGGCACGCAGCCCCCATCCTCTAACCTTCCATGATCCCCCATCCATTGTCCTCTTTATCTTACCTTCCCCTTCCTCGCTCATGGTTCTTCCCTTTACCAAATAAGGGTGCTCAGCTTTTCCCGCACTTGCCCCCTCCTCAGCCCTGTAAACTACTTAGTGATCTGTGTCCTCGTCCTCTTCCTGCACTCCCTACCGTCTGGCTTCTCCTTGACCCACCCCTCAAATGCTCTCACCAAAATCGCCTTTGACTAACATGTGGCCAAGTCCCAGGTTTGATCTTACTTGCAATCTCTTAGTATTTGACTTTGTTGACTTATTTCCTTGAAACTCTGTCATCCATTGGTTTAAAAACAAAACAGACAAGCAAACAAACAAAACCCCTCTTGGTTTCACTTCTGCCTCTCTGGCTGCTCCTTCTCAGTCTCCTTTCCTGGAGCTCCTTCCTCTGCTCTTCCTCCACATGGTACCATTTTGGCTCCGAGTTCTTCTGGTCAGTGCAAGGTCCTTGAATGGCCCCATCCAAACCCATGGTTTACATAAGATTTGGGAGCATCACCATGGTTCACCTCCAGATTGGACTTCTCCCTGCTCACCCCCATGCTCTAGGGCCTGTATTCAACTATCCACTGGACTTTTCTCCTTGGATGACCCACGAGCACCTCACATTCAACATGCCTCCAAATGAACATTATTTCCCCCAGCACCTGCTCCTCCTCCGGCACCCTCTATTTCAGGGAATGACATGCTATCTTCCCAGTTACCAAAGCCAGACTTGCAGGTCCTAGAGAAAACCCCATACATCTGCTCTGGTGCCACCATGTTCCATGTTGTATATTTCATCTTCCTTGATGTTTAGCGTGAAATGAATTAAACTGCAATGTCCTGAGCCACTATTTCCCAGTGATTGTGACCAACCAAATTTCTGGCCCTAAGGGGGAGCCATATAGGTTGAGATTCAAAACACAAAGACATTTTTTCTGCCAGAAAAGCTGGATAACACTACATTCCTTGGTGCTGCAGGAGATAATGGGGAGAGACCAGAGGACTCAGGTCAGATAGGCAGGTGGCTGCAGCATCGCACCATTGCCACCCCCTCGAGCACAGAGGAGGGAGTCACTGATAAAGACCCAGGACTAGGGACTGTGGTCTCTACTCAGGAGGGATCGGTTATTAGGAGATTCCCTGCACCAGCAGCTGGAGCTCTAGGGCTGAAGGGAGGAGCTGAATTCTTCCTCTTATCTCATTTCTCAGAACAAAGTTGGGAAGACTGAACCCAAGTTTTTACATTGTGTGGGGGAGAGTTTGGGTTTGGAGGGCTACCTCCTAAGGTCAGGGATGGGGGAGGCGATGGTGGCTCTGACTGTGTCCCGTGGAAGACACGGTGTCTATTCCAGGCTTCAATGCAGACGC